ATGCTTTTTTAAAAAAAATTGGGGATTAAAAAACCAATTTTTTCCCTTTGACCTCCTTAAAATTTTAAATTTAAAAAAAAAGTTTCATTTGTTTAAATATTTTTTTTTTTTTTTTTTTTTTTTTTAAATATACATACATTTACTTTAAAAGTACAGTACAAAAAGTTTGTGGCACAAAACCCTCACGGGGAAATTGATAATGAAACTGAAGAATTCTTTTTTTTTTAAAAAACAGATTTAGCCCCAAATAAAAATAAAGCAGGTTTTTTTTTTTGCATTTTTTTAGAAAGATCAAGACTGAAAAATTTTCATTTTAAAAAAGTTGCCCCAAAAATTTTTAAAGTTAGGGAAGAAGACTCATGGCATCTAAAAAAGATTTTTCCCTTTACCTCCATGCTCAGACACCCCACAGGTTTTTAATTTAAAAGCTCTTCTTCTACAGTATATAAGATTATAAGTCCTGGGGGATGAAAAGTGAAGTTTTCATTTGAATTTTAAACCCCTTTTAGGGTCGGCAGGCCCTCCCTAAACTTGTTCACCGGGTCGGAAATTTTTCAAAAAAAAAAAAAAAAAAATCTTGAAATGATAGAGAAACCCTTTTCCCCCAACATAATTGGGCACCAAAAAATATGGGAAAATTTTATGGAAAAAATTATGGAATTTGCTTTCGCGGGAAATTTAGCGGTCTCAACGTGTTTAAAGCCCTCGGCAATTTCCCCCTAATTTTGTGCCCCCATTTTTTGGCCATTTCCAATGTACCAAATTGACAAAAAAACATAACTATTTTTTCTAGAACTCCATTTTTTCTAGCGAAAGAGGGACAAGGAACCACCCATTTAAAAAGGGTTTCAACTATCCAAAAAGTGGTCAGAAAATTGGGAATTTTTTCAAATTTTACACAAATTTCAAAAAATGCCAATTTCCAAAAAGGGGGCCCGAATTTAAAAAAGGGCCCGATATTCCTGGCACTAAAAAAAACATTTTTTTCTGTTTTATTAGTCACGTCCCCCGGCCCCTCTTACATTGCTTTTGCTTTCCACTTTGAATTTTTATTCCCCGCCCAAAAAAATGAAGATTTGCTGTTATGCAGACTACTGAAATTTGTGTGAAATAGTATAAAAAAATCAGTGCAAATTGTGAAAAAAATATTAGAAACCCGTTGATGGTATTTGGAAAGCTGGCATAAATTTTTTTAAATTTTGAAAATTCGGCAAAAATCGGCCATTTTTTGCGCTTTGAGTCAAATTTTAAGGTCTTTTTATTGTGGAAACCAACAAAAATCATTTTCAAAATTTTGTAAAAATTTTCCCTTTCCCTTTTTGTAACATGAGACCCAAAAAAAAAAACTAGAATACAATATAAATCCCCCTCGAAAAAAACACGCAAAAATCACCCGTTTTTAAAACCCCTTTTACTGTCGGGGGCCGTATATATTTCGTTTTTACTAGGTACCCTTTTTGACGTATATATACTCTAAATTCTAGCGGCTTCCAAAAACAAGGAGGAGAAAGCCCGGTAGGCCCACAAGTGAATGAATGGGTCTGTGGTCATTTTGCCAAACCCCATAAAAAAAATCCCCGGAGCACGCAGTGGGATAATGAGAAAAAAAAATCCGACCGGGTTTTTTTTTTTAATTAAAAAAAAACCCACTTTTTTGGTCTATTTTGTAAAAAGTATTTATGGTTGTATTTTTTTGTTTTCTTGGTCTCCTTTGATAAAGGAAAAAAATATTAAAAGAAAAAAAAGGGTGATTTTTTATAGGGTTTTACTATAAAAAGAACCTGGGAAATTGGGGGCTCAAAGTAGGGGGGAAAAGTTTGATTTTTCCGATGTTCCCAAAAATAAACAAATGACTTCATTTTCCCAAAAAATGTCCCAAATAGCCATTTTAATATTCCCGTCAAAGAATGGGTTTTATGTTAAATTTTTACAGTTTTTACAGATTGGAGTAGTCTTCATAATAGTAAATCTTCTATTTTTTGTTTTTAATAAAAATTTAAAATAAAAGCAAGAGTAATATCAGAGGGGGGCCCGGAGCCCTGAATGTGAACAAAAAAAAATGTTTTTTTAGAGCCAGGAATGTTTTGTTCTTTTGGCCTTATTTTGAAATTGTCTATTTTTTAATTAAACGTTTAAATTGGCCAAAAATTTCAAAAATTTCTACCAGTTTTTGGGGAGTTGAAATTGGTTAAAAAGGGCAAATTTCCCTTTACCAAATCGAAAAAACTGGAAATTTTTAAAAAAATTTGCTATGATTTGGGGGCGCTGGGAACAAGTGGAATTTCCGAAAATAGGGCCCCAAAAAGGGGCGAAAACGCCGGGGTTTTTTAAATATCGCTTTAAAGGGCGCTTTTAAAAAAATTTTTTTTTTGCGAGAGTGTAAATTCCCTCAGTTTTTCCCCCAAATTTTTTTTTTTTTTGGGTGTCATTACAAAACCCGGGAAAAAATTCTCTTTCATTTTTATAAAAAAAAAAATAAAATTTTTTTTTTTTTAAATTTTGCGACACCCAGGAACACCCAAAAGGGTTGGGGGGGTTGCGACAGCAAAAGGGGGTTTTAAAGGGGGGGAAAAACAAAAGGTCGGAGTTTTTTTTTTTATATTATGCATGTGGCTCAGATTTTTTTTTTATACTGGTTGGCCCCAAAAAAAACCACATAGACCCATTTTTTTTCATATGTAGGCCTCCAGCTTTCCTTCCCTAGATTTAAGGGACTAAATTTTTTGCTTTCAAGTACAGCCCCCAACCCTGATGTGCAAGCCCTTTTTTAGTATGGGACCAACCCTGAAAGGGTTTTTTAAAAAAGGTGCCCTTTCCAAACAAACCCTTTTAAAAAAAGAAAATTTGTTTCAGTAATAGGGATAAAATTTAACAGTATGGGAAAGAATTAAAAAAGGGCCTGGAAATTTTTCCGGGGAGAGTTCCGGGGGCAACGCCCCGCGGCCCCGGGCTGTGGGCCAGGGGCCTTTTTGGTGGATCAGAGGGGCTGATCAACCAGGCTGTTACTGCTGGTGCAAACCCAAAACCCAAAGTACGAGCCACAGCCCCGGCCCGGTCAGGGAAACCCACTTTTGGGGTTGGGCCAGTGCCCCTTGAAGAAATGCCAGGGGGGTGTTGGTAATCCCCCTTATGTATGCTGGGAGGCAGTTGAACAGTCTCGGGCCCCTGACACTTATTGTATGGTCTCTTAACGTGCTAGTGACACCCCTGCTTTTCATTGGGGGGATGTTGCATCGTCTGCCAAGTCTTTTGCTTTCGTAGTGAGTGATTTTCGTGTGCAAGTTCGGTACTAGTCCCTCTAGGATTTTCCAGGTGTATATAATCATGTATCTCTCCCGCCTGCATTCCAGGGAATACAGGTTTAGGAACCTCAAGCGCTCCCAGTAATTGAGGTGTTTTATGCGCGCCGTGAAGGTTCTCTGTACATTTTCTAGGTCAGCAATTTCACCTGCCTTGAAAGGTGCTGTTAGTGTGCAGCAATATTCCAGCCTAGATAGAACAAGTGACCTGAAGAGTGTCATCATGGGCTTGGCCTCCATCCTGTCATTTTTCTAGCAGATGCGATTGATACAATGTTATGGTCCTTGAAGGTGAGATCCTCCGACATGATCACTCCCAGGTCTTTGACGTTGGTGTTTCACTCTATTTTGTGGCCAGAATTTGTTTTGTACTCTGATGAAGATTTAATTTCCTCATGTTTACCATATCTGAGTAATTGAAATTTCTCATCGTTGAACTTCATATTGTTTTCTGCAGCCCACTGAAAGATTTGGTTGATGTCCGCCTGGAGCCTTGCAGTGTCTGCAATGGAAGACACTGTCATGCAGATTCGGGTGTCATCTGCAAAGGAAGACACGGTGCTGTGGCTGACATCCTTGTCTATGTCAGATATGAGGATGAGGAACAAGATGGGAGCGAGTACTGTGCCTTGTGGAACAGAGCTTTTCACCGTAGCTGCCTCGGACTTTACTCTGTTGACTACTACTACTCTGTGTTCTGTTAGTGAGGAAATTATAGATCCATTGACCGACTTTTCCTGTTATTCCTTTAGCACGCATTTTGTGCGCTATTACGCCATGGTCACACTTGTCGAAGGCTTTTGCAAAGTCTGTATATATTACATCTGCATTCTTTTTGTCTTCTAGTGCATCTAGGACCTTGTCGTAGTGATCCAATAATGGTCCAAGTCGGACTGAAATGTCATTGCAGGTTATTTGTGTATTTAACTATATACTCTACTATAGTATTTACCAGGTCATATTCTTTAATAGATGATATAGTATTTTATAATGAGTTTCTCTAATTCATTTAATTATTTATTTAGTGTATATTACCTAACAGCTAATGCTTTATTGTTTGTGTTTTTGTCAGTCATTTAAGGAAGTTCTTAAACCAACCTGTAACAAATGATTGTAAATACATACCCTATCATAAAGTTATCATTTGAAATATAATATAACTTAGTTATAACAAGACTGGAACAGAAAACTCCAGCAGGCTTTTATCTCTTCCAAAGTACTAGAAATAATTTATACTTTTCATGATGCTTACCTTTAATGAGTTTAGAGTGCTTGCTGAATGCACAAGAGGCCAGGTCGTACCTCATTGCTAACTTTCATTACTTATGGTGACTTTTAACCTATTCAGATAAACAAACCTGTCCCTAAAAGGTCACAGATTCATTGAAGATTTAAACTTTGAATATTAATTTCTTGCCATGCTCTTTGTAAGGAGCAGCCATTGATGCCACAGAAGTAAAAACTACAGATCACAGTAACCACTGAAACATAGTACTGTAGAATACCTAACAGCAGAGATTGCATTCCTTACAATGCAAAGAGCAAGTAGAGTTCTTTCACATGTAATATGACATATCAGCACTTGCTACTACATTTTATACCATAACGTATTTTGCAAATCTGTGCATGATTTGCCATGTTTCTTGTTTATAGAAACTATACATAGTTATGGATAGTATTGACATTGCTTGATTGTTTCAGATCTCAGGAGGAAACCAAGATAAATATACCAAGCCGTCAAGAGAAGATAAAGCAAAAAATACGTGAATTTGAGTCTCATCTAAGTGCACTTGGGCCAAATATAGGCTTCAGTCATCCGATACCACCAAACTTAAGGTGCATTTTTTTGTATACTGGTATTATTGATACCTATATATATTGCTTTTAGCAATGTCATTTACATTATTTTCCTTTAAAGTTCTGGTGCTAACAAGTAGTGTACAAAAATTTCATTATATTTCAGGTATGTGTATCCTCCACCTTCACCATCTGTTATAGCCAACATAGCACAGACACTTGTAGTTGTTCCCAAGTTTTACACTCAAGTCTTACATCTAATGAATAAGATGAATCTTCCAACTCCTTTTGAATCAGTTACTAAGATAACACCACTTTATGCAAAAGTTTTAAACTTGATGGGTTACCATATAAATAGTAAGGAAGAGGAATCAGCTCTAAATGGGAATGAAGAAAATATATTTAATGAAGGATTAAATTCTAATGAGGGTGTTCATCATGAAGACAAGGAAAATTATAAAAGTGATGAAGAAGACACATCAGAGACAGAGTCTGAATTGGAAAGTGAAGGGAATGATTCAATGGATAAGCAACAGAAAACACCTTTACCCATTAAGAGGAAACTCAAGCCAAGAAATGTTATTAATAAGAAACCCAAACTATCCTTGTTAAAGCAGACCTGTGTATCTCATCCTCGGAATTCTGAATCAACTTCGGTGAAGGATGTGTTTGAGGCCAGTGAAAGTCTTGGGGCAAAGAAATTGCAGATGAGGTTGGAGGGAACAGTTCTCCCACAGGCACAGTTAGAGGAGAGAAATTGTTCTCAGCCAGGAGGTTTTGGAAAGATTGAATCTTCTACAGACTCTAGGGTGACAGCAGATGATATGGTTGAGTGGAAGAGGGCATCTACAAAATACATAACTAAAGAAGATTTACAAGCCAACATGGTTAGCAAAGCAGGTGAGATACACATTTCAGCAGCTGAATTAATTATCTTACCAAGCTTATGCATTACATAAATACAGTAGAAAAAACTGTTTTGTATATTTGGCTTTTGCTTTTCTGGCCTCATAGAATGGGTAACATTATATTTTGACACTAAGGTGAATGGAAAACAATGTTAATAACATAAATATATTTTTAACACCAGTCATTTTCTTTCAAGGCAGGATGTCCCAGGAGAACCAAAGTCACCATCACCCATTCTTTCTTTCCAAAAGTGCACAGTCAAATAAAATATCACCCTGATGACTGTAAGGTTCACTAGGTTATTCCATACATGAATTAATTTATAGCTTTTTTTTTTCAGATTGGCCTTTGTTAACGGTATTCAAAAATTACCAGCCAGGTGCACCATCTACTAAATTATACATAAAAAATTTAGCTAAAACAACAAGTGAAGAAAATCTGAAATATATATATGGCCGTTATATATTTTGGCAAAATGATGAAGAATCTAGTTTGTAAGTATTTGTTCAAAATCTGTATTTCAGTTTAGTGATAAATTTTTCAGTAGTTTATATGAATACATATAGTCGGACTTGAGTCCTGGAAATGGGAAGTACAATGCCTGCACTTTAAAGGAGGGGTTTGGGATATTGGCAGTTTGGAGGGATATGTTGTGTATCTCTATACATATATGCTTCTAAACTGTTGTATTCTGAGCACCTCTGCAAAAGCAGTGATAATGTGTGAGTGTGGTGAAAGTGTTGAATGATGATGAAAGTATTTTCTTTTTGGGGATTTTCTTTCTTTTTTTTGGGTCACCCTGCCTCGGTGGGAGACGGCCGACTTGTTGAAAAAAAAAAAAAAAAATAAGTGCCTTTTTGTCAAAAAGTCATTCATTAATTTGTAATTGAAATTTAAAAAAGTAAAAGGAGAGTGAGATTTAATGAAAATTTTGGAAGTAAATTATTCATTACAGTAATTTTTAGGACAATTGATATTGTAGTAAAAAAATTAATCCCTTCTGATTTAATCTTTTTTTCTTCATATTCTCTCATCCTTTATTTATATTTCAGAATTGTACAGAATTAAATGTTTGCTCTTGAATGCTTCATTTTGCTATAGGTATAACACCAATGAAAATGGTTTAGAGTTTGCAATAAATAGTGTATAGCCCATAGTTTAAGGTTGACAATAAACAGTGTATACCCCATTGATCTTAGCATGGAATGTATTCCTGGGAAATGTTGCTCAAAGGCTTGGTTTAACACTGTAAATAATGGTTGACCTCTGAATCCTGTCCCTACACCCAGTATATGTACAGTACTTACAGTACATTAAACAAATCTCAGTCAAATAATGTCCTCATCCTCTTCTCTCTTGTGTCACCTCCACTAAGTTATCCATAGACATATACTTTTCCTCAGTTTTAATCATAAAATCATAAGAAAAAAAGTGTTAATTGTTCATTGTTAAGCTCAGAATCATTAAAAAAAATTGTTCACTGTATATTGAATACATACAATGATCATTTGGTTATACTACATAAACCTAACATTTCCCCACACCAAAATATGGAAAATAATGCATTTAATAAAAATGGAGAAAAATATAATTGAAATGTATGAAAAAATTGTGAAAATTAATTTCTTAACCAGCATATATGAAATAAATGTTCAGAGCAGAATCTTGGGACATCATCATTGCACAGTGAATGTAGACAATAAACTGTCATTTGTTAGATACTGTACACAAAAAAAAAGTAACAAATGTTTTTTTTCAGATTCTCTATTCGTCTCATGAAAGAGGGCCGGATGAAGGGACAAGCCTTTGTAACATTTCCATCAATAAAGCAAGCAAGTGAAGCCTTAGAGGACACCAATGGCTTTATCCTAAATGATAAGCCAATGGTTGTGGTATATGGAAAGGTTAAGAAAACCTGATTGATCATCCCAGTAATTATTTGCTACATAATTTTATATTTATCTTTTCATTCAGTTTTGTAAGAGGATAAGTTTTTACATTTTTTTAGTATATGTATATATATATGTATAGTAGTATGTATGTAGGTTGGTGCAGTGAAGTGTAATGAAGACTGATCAACGAGATTAAAACCCATGAGACAAAAATGAGGAAGAATGGTACTCTGTATGTTTTGACCTGCAGATGAGGTCCTCTGGAGCTGGTACAAAGAAATAGGAAGAGAGATCAAATATTTATAGTGGTAAGGAGAGTGGGAGTGACATTTCTTGGGTCCTCAAGGTGTTTGATAGCATCTCATAAAAGGCTAAAAGGTACTCGGATGACCTTTCATATTGGAATGTCCTTATATGAGTCTTTTTATGACATAATATGGTATGAGCATAAGAGCAGAGGAATTGAGGTACATTGCATTAATCCTGCTGTCCATGCTAGACTGGTCCTGTCCATCACACTAAATGGTAGCCCTGGTTTAAAGGGTTGCTGTTACTAGTGTCAGGGCTATTTTTGTGTGTCTGCTTGATTGAACTTGGTGTTGGGATGTGTTTTTTAACCCTTAAACGGTCCAAACAGAGCGACGTTCAAATTCGTATTGCTACAAAAGTAGATCTACTTTTTTTTACATATTTTCAAATATAACAAAAAAAAAGTAGATAAAAGTATTTTTTACATTTTTTCAAATGTAAAACAAAAAAGATTTACATTTTTTTACATACTTTCAGATGTTGAAAAAACGTATATATACGTTTGGACCATTTAAGGGTTAATGTGTATGTGGTCGTTACATCTGGTTTGTAGTTTTCTGTTGAAATTTTAAAGGCTTAAGTATCACCTCAATTGATTTTCATTTGTATGGGTGTTCCATCCTGTAACTGATGTTAGCTCCATCACAGGTATGGAACAAATTTTTTGTGTTGGAGCACTGCACAACTTTCTTGACCATACCTGACTGAGCTTATGTTCAATCATTCTAGTCTCAAGATTCAGAAATATCTTGATGGACTGGTATGACTAATTTTGCAGCACTATTGTCTTCATTTTTGCTTTGCTGGATTTTTGGTTTTAAAGTAGCTTTAGCTAGCTTTGCTTATTCATGTTTGGAGAATTGTGTTCTGACTGTCTTTTGGTCCCAGAGGCTGGGGCTGCATATCCTCAAAGCTGTAGAAAAAGTTGGAAACTGTTCTTTTCTTTATTTGTGAGGAGTGATGACTAATGAACTGGCTGTAATTGACAAGTGTGTATGGGTTTATTGTATGCTGTAAATTCCAAACCCACAAATAGTTACAAAAATTTTATTAAAGAGGAAACAAACACATAGATAAGGACCAACATATTCTTTCATATCAAGATATTTTCTGAATACACAGAGAGTACAAATAGGGAAATTGCAAAATTTAACAATTTGGTTAAATGTGCCCAGCAAATGATGATGGAAAATCCAAGAACACACCCAGATCCTGTACTGATTTGACAGGCTGCTTACTGATAGTGTCTTAATCAAATGCACCAAAACCTCCACTCTGGATTTCTCTTGAGATTTTTCCTTGTTTAGTTTCAAATTTTCTGTTTGTCATCCCCCCCTCAAGGGAGGTTCCTTGATGCTGGTGAGGGGCTCTTGATCTAGGGAACTGGATCTGTGCTCCAGTTCCCTGAATTGAGCCTGAATACCTTCCATCCCCCCCCCCCCCCGATTTGCTGTATAATCCTACAGGTTTAGCGCTCCTCCATTATTATAATAATGTTTGTCATCCAAGTTCCAATATCCAGTAAGAGAACTAAAACAGTTTTGCATCCATGTTCAGAATTCATATGTAGACCTATGTATCATCAACTGAAAAACATTCAACCTCATGGGGATCCAACAGTACTACTAACATAATTGCAATACCAGTCCAAGAACAGAACCCTGAGAAATGCCATGGGGCAATGGAGGTGGCTCAGATACAGTCAGTGATTACTATATGATATGACCGACCAGAAAGATTTAATTTCTGAAGACAGTGCAGCATTCTCGATGCCACAGATAAAAAGATGACTAATCAGTAATCCATGATCAGTAGTATCATGCAGCCAAGATACCCAATGAAATTAGTAGCATTGTATCTGCTAACCAAGTGTTCAGTACCAAAGCATTGTAAACCTTACACAAATCCATCTCACTTGAATGAAATGGTCAGTTTGCTAAACTGTACACATGGTAAGACATGACTGCTGCAAAAAAAGAAGCAATTGATCTAGATCATAGCACATTTAAACAGTTTTGTAGCTTGACATGTTTTCCAAATCAAGAGAAGACTTTTGAGGAGCAGACAAACAAAAGCCCTTTTCATTGACTGTAGAGAACATTTGCTTTGAAAACAATAACTGATCAGCTCATTAATGAAAAGAACAGAAAATTCATGTACAATCAACATCACTGAAACATAGGATCTTTTGCAGAATGCCTTATTAGAACTTCTAATATACCTCAGAACTTGAAAACTGAAGTGACCCCCGTGGCCTGGCTGGCAAAGTTCTCGCTTCACACGCAGAAGGCCCGGGTTCGATTCCCGGTGGGGTAGAAACATTTCGATGCATTTCCTTACACCTGTTGTCCTGCTCACCTAGCAGCAAATAGGTACCTGGGTTAACGTTAGTCAACTGGTGTGGGTCGCATCTTGGGGGACAAGATTGAGAACCCCCAATGGAAATAAGACAGACAGTCCTCGATGATGCACCATCTTTCATGGATTATCTTGGGTGGCTAACCCTCTGGGACTAAAAATCCAAACAAAATCTTGTGTTATCTTAACTGAAAAAAAGTAATCCATGATACATTACATGCCAGAATAGTTAGTTACAGAGAGCAACAAAAAAAAGTTTCAAATGACACAAGGAGCTTACTGTATCAAATTTCATGCAACAGCTGTAATGTAATGTACCTGGGGGAAACTTGCAGGCATCTTGGGACTAGGATAATTGAACACAAACCCTCAGTCTGGTATGGTCAAAGTTTTGCACTCTTGAAACACATTAAAAATTCACACTAAAGTCAACTAGGATGGCATTAGCATCACTTACTAGATGAGACATATACAAATTTAAATCAGTTGAAGCAACACTAATTCAAGCTATACCTTAACCCTTAAATGGTCCAAACATATATATATGTTTTTTCAACATCTGAAAGTATGTAAAAAAATGTAGATCTTCTTTTTTGTTTTACATTTGAAAACATGTAAAAAAAACTTTTATCAACATTTTTTTTTTTTATTATATTTGAAAATATGTAAAAAAAAGTAGATCTACTTTTGTAGCAATACGAATTTGAACGTTGATCTCTTTGGACCGTTTAAGGGTTAATGAGGCATTCATGCAGCAATAGTCTAAACACCCTCACATCACACCCTTAAATAAGGGCTACCATTTAGATTGTGATGGAGAGGATCAGTTTAACATGGGACATTAGAATTAATGCTGTGCTCCTCAGTTCCTTTTTCTCTTACATTCATAGCATATTATGATACAAAACAATTACCAAGAAACTTTCACACTCCTGTATATAGACATTCCACCAAGAGATCATCCGAATCACCTTCATATTCCAAAGTTTGCCTGTCATAAGATGTTGAGCACCTGAAGGATGCAAGAAGTTCTTCTCTCTCTCACCTTACTGATATAAATATTCTGTCTTCTGTATCTGCTAAAGAGAACCTCAGCTGCAGTTAGAAATATGAAGACTATCTTTCTTCCTCCTTTTCTCATGGGTTTCCTCTTATGTATATCAGTAAACTCAGTTTAACAGACTTTGGAAATACACTATAAAATCTGCTGGGTTGATTTATTTAAGAACAGTTGACAGTCTGTTGTTTATGGGTTTGTCCATTATTGTTATCACAGAAAAACAGTCTAAGCTGTGCTGGCTGATCCGGCCACCTGCTCTTCCTTATTAGTCTGCTAAATTGAAAGTTTACTTGTGTATTAACCCCTAAACGATCCAAACGTATATATACGTTTTTACCACTAGCGCCCCAAACGTATATAGTATACGTTTTAATTTTCCTGCCTCCAAATTTGGCATGATTGGCCTGAGATGCCTGGTCAGCATAGAATGGGTCTTAACACTCGGTGTGCACCATATTAAAAGAATCTGGGACCACTTAGAACCTTGTGGGAGCGCCAGTTAAATTGAGTGCCAGCTCGAGCAAACAGTGTGGCAAACACCATGGATTCACTAATATTAACACTCCCCTTTTAAGAGGAAAGTGATGTTAACCCCAAGTTTAGGGTCTATCTCTGTCTGTCTATCTGTCCCTGTATCTGTATGTCTCTATCTGTCTCTCTCTCTCTTTTTATGTCTCACAGGTACACACAAATTCAATTATACTTCTTTCTTCCTCCTGCCCCTTCCTTCTTCCTTCTTCTTCTTCTATACTCCCATGTATCCAAAACATTGCTGGGACCTATAATTATTTTTTTTATTAACACATCAGCAGATTCCCACCAGGGCAGGGTGGCCCGAAAAAGAAAAACTTTCATCGTTCACTCCATCACTGTCTTGCCAGAGGGGTGCTTTACACTACAGTTATAAAACTGCAACATTAACACCCCTCCTTCAGAGTGTAGACACTGTACTTCCCATCTCCAGGACTAAAGTCCGGCCTGCCGGTTTCCCTGAATCCCTTCATAAATGCTACTTTGCTCACACGCCAACAGCACGTCAAGTATTAAAAACCATACGTCTCCATTCACTCCTATCAAATACACTCTTGCACGTTTGCTGGAAGTCCAAGCCCCTTGCACACAAAACCTCTTTTACCCCCTCCCTCCAACCCTTCCTAGGCCGACCCCTACACCGCCTTCCCTCCACTACAGATTTATACACTCTCGAAGTCATTCTGTTTTGTTCCATTCTATATGTCCGAACCACCTCAACGACCCCTCCTCAGCCCTATGGATAATAGTTTTGGTAATCCCACACCTTCTAATTTCTGAACTACGAATTTTCTGCTTTATATTCACACCACACATTGCCCTCAGACATGACATCTCCACTGCCTCCAGCCTTCTCCTTGTTGCAACATTCATCACCCATGCTTCACACCCATATAAGAGTGTTGGTACAACTATGCTCTCATACATTCCCCTTTTTGCTTCCACAAAGTTCTTTGTCTCCACAGACTCATAAGTGCACCATTCACCCTTTTCCCCTCATCAATTCTGTGATTCACCTCATCCTTCATAGACCCATCTGCTGACACGTCCACTCCTAAATATCTGAATACATTCACCTCCTCCATACTCTCTCCCTCCAATCTGATATCCAGTCTTTCGTCACCTAATCTTTTTATCCTCATAACATTACTCTTTCCTATATTCACTTTTAATTTTCTTCTTTTACATACCCTATCAAATTCATCCGCCAACCTCTTCAGAATCTCCCAAAAGCACCATGTCATCAGCAAAGAGCAACTGTGACAACTCCCACTTTGTGTTTGATTCTTTATCTTTTAACTGCACACCTCTTGCCAAGACCCTAGCATTCACGTCTCTTACAACCCCATCTATAAATATATATTGAACAACCATGGTGACATCACACATCCTTGTCTAAGGCCTACTTTTACTGGGAAATAATCTCCCTCTCTCCTACATACTCTAACCTGAGCCTCACTATCCTCGTAAAAGATCTTCACTGCTTTCAGTAACCTACCTCCTATACCATACACCTGCAACATCTGCCACATTGTCCCCCTATCTACCCTGTCATATGCCTTTTCTAAATCCATAAATGCCACAAAAACCTCTTTACCCATATCTAAATACTGTTCACCTATATGTTTCACCGTAAACACTTGGTCTACACACCCCCTACCTTTCCTAAAGCCTCCTTGTTCATCTACTATCCTACTCTCCGTCTTACTCTTAATTCTTTCAATAATAACTCTACCATACACTTTACCAGGTATACTCAACAGACTTATCCCCCTATAATTTTTGCACTCTCTTTTATCCCCTTTGCCTTTATACAAAGGAACTATGCATGCTGTCTGTCAATCCCTAGGTACCTTACCCTCTTCCATACATTTATTAAATAATAGCACCAACCACTCCAAAACTATATCCCCTCCTGCTTTTAACATTTTTATCTTTATCTCATCAATCCCAGCTGCCTTACCTCCTTTCATTCTACCCACTGCCTCACGAACTTCCCCCACACTCACAACTGGCTCTTCCTCACTCCTACAAGATGTTACTCCTCCTTGCCCTATACACAAAATCACAGCTTCCCATCTTCATCAACATTTAACAATTCCTCAAAATATTCCCTCCATCTTCCCGATACCTCTAACTCTTCATTTAATAACTCTCCTCTCCTATTTTTAACTGTCAAATCCATTTGTTCCCTAGGCTTTCTCAACTTATTAATCTCACTCCAAAACTTTTTCTTATTTTCAATAAAATTTGTTGATAACATCTCACCCACTCTCTCATTTGCTCTCTTTTTACATTGCTTCACCACTCTCTTAACCTCTCTGTTTCTCTCCATATACTCTTCCCTCCTTGTATCACTTCTACTTTGTAAAAACCTCTCATATGCTAACTTTTTCTCCCTTACTACTCTCTTGACATCATCATTCCACCAATCGTTCTTCCCTCCTGCACCCACTTTCCTGTAACCACAAACTTCTGCTGAACACTCTAACACTAAATTCTTAAACCTACCCCTTACATGTTCGACCCCATTGCCTATACAGTGGACCCCCGCATAACGATGGCATCGCATAGCGATTTTTCCGCATAACGATTACTTTTATCGCAAAATTTTTGCCCCGCATACCGATTAAAAACCCGCATACCGTTTTTCGTCCGAGACGCGTCCAATGTGCCCTCACATGTGCCGGCCGTCCCATTGTTTACCAGCCAGCCTCCGCGGTAACATCCAAGCATACACTCGGAATATTTCGTATTATTACAGTGTTTTCGGTGGTGTTTCTGGAAAATAAGTGACCATGGGCCCCAAGAAAGCTTCTAGTGCCAACCCTGTGGTAAAAAGGGTGAGAATTAGTATGGAAATAAGAAAGATTTTGAAGGTTTGGGGCTAACCCTGAGAAGCCTATGCAGTTGTGGAATCCATTGTGCCTACTTCAAAGATTAAGGAAATGTGTGCAGAGTGGTTTGACTGCAAACCTTTATAGATGAAAATCACCCTGACACAGCTGTTTGAAAGCCGTGCTTGTGACTATTTCAATGACAATGTTATGGCCCATTTAGGAAAGCTTGAAAAACGGGAGGTACAGAGCTCTATGGACAGATTTGTTGTGCGACAGAGTCCAGGTACTCTGAAGCTGGTCCTGTGGCATTAAAAAGAAGAAGGGAAGTAACCCCAGGAAAGACTTTGCTACCTCTAAGTCCTAATGGAAGGGGATTCCCTTTCTAAACAGTAAGAAGATAATGCTCTCCGCTCCTCCCATCCATTCAATCATCACCAGATCTTTCTAATAAAAGTAAGTGTCATACATGTACCCATCTCTCTTTTTCAGTTTTTTGTTGTTTACAAATTAACATTTCATGTTTAAAAAAAATTTTTTTCATACTTTTGTCCTTTCTGATAAATTATATCTATTTTTACCCTTTACTTATGGGGAAAATTATTCGCATAACGATTATTTCCCTCGGACCCTCTTGACCACAAGGATTAAAATCGTAACCGGGTCCACTGTACCTCACTAGCCTATCTATCCCTCAATATTTTACATCTTACCTCCATATCTGTTTATTCTTACTTATGCTCTTTTAGTTTATACACCTTCACCTCTCTCTTACTTGCTGCTGCTATTTTCCTCATATCCAGTCTACCTTTTACTCTCACTGTAGCTACAACTAGAATACTTGTATATATTCCTAGACAATAGTAAATGACCAAGGCAGGTGTAATATATATTCCTAGATAATAGTAAATGACCAAGGCAGGTATAAATGTCCACCTGTCAATGTGTTTGTGACAATTTGAGTGCAATTTCAATACCTAATATTAGTGTCATAACAAAAGTTGGTCATGAAATGCCAAGAACTACAATATATTGTTATTATCAGAACATAAAAAGTATACAAAATAATATAGAAATGAGAAAAAATGGTATATCGGCAACACTTCCTCAAGTGGCAGGACTCAATGTTGCCATCAGGTGAGCATTAAGTGCCAACTTTGCAGCCTCATATCTCAGTAAGTACTAACCCTAATTTTTTTATTTTAATCTTATAACACGTAGAAAATTTTTCTCTTTATTTCAATGAAAAAAAAAAAGATTTTTTTATTTTTCAAAATATTAGGGGCACTGGGGGAGAGAACGTATATATACGTTTGGACCGTTTAGGGGTTAACATATATTTTGTTAGTGATTAGTTGGAAACAGTTTCTGAACATATAAATTTATTCAGAATTTTCTGTTTTATTTTTACCTCTTAGGGTAAAGCTATCAAGAGAGCTTATGGTGTGTCATCTCTGAAACAGGCCCTTCTCAGTTTTACTCCTTCAATGGGCTGCTTTGATGCTGCTTAATTAAGAGCTCCTAATACAGGGAACTGGAGCTACTACCTTTCCATTCCACAAATCAAACCAGATTGCCTCTTATTCCTCAGGTGATGTATGACCCATGGGTTTAGTGCTTCCCCATGAATAATAATTTGTAATTTACAAGTTATACAGTCTTCCTGCATCCCTTATTTCCTCAGTAAAGGCAGGCCCCACTTTACAGCCTTTCAATGATGCAGCAGTTTTCAATTATACCCATTCTTCATTTATTCAGACTTTCTGCAATAAATATATTTACCACTCACTATAAGCTAAGGACAAAAATATTCTAAGGTAATGTGTGTACTGTATATGAATTTTTTTAGACCTAGCTATATTGCTCACTCAATATATGATAGTGTAAACATGTTATCAGGCTTTTATATGCATTTGAGTGAAAAAAGGCTTTGATTCACTTTATAGCAATTTTTGCCTTACAGCAATACCCCAGAACCTAACCTTCTGTTTAAGCACAGCCCTCCTGTACTGTATTTCACACCCATACAACAGTGTTGGCACTACTAAACACTGGTACTTTCTATTTTTTATGCATGTATAAGGTTGTCTCCACAGATGTCTCAATGCACTGCCCACCTCTTTTTTTTCTTTGTCAATTTTATAGTTCACCTCATCTTTCATATTATATTTATGGGGGAGTGCTAAACCCATAGGGGTCATACAGCACTAAGGGGAATGGGAGTCATTCAGATTCAATCCAAGGGGCAGCAAGTTCAATTCCTTGGGTCAAGAGCTCCTTACTGATATCAATGAATCTCTTAAAGGGTGATCTTTCATAGATGTATCTGTTGACAAGTCCGCTCCCAAATATTTGAACACATTTGCCTAAGGGCAATGTGTGGTGTAAACATTATGCAGAAAATTCAGAGTGTGGAAATTAGGAGAAGGTGTGGAGTTAATAAAAATATTATTCAGAGGGCTGAAGAGGGGTTGTTGAGGTGGTTTGGCCATTTAGAGAGAATGGATCAAAGAATGACATGGAGAGTGTATAAATCTGTAGGAGAAGGAAGGCGGGGTAGGGGTTGTCCTCGAAAAGGTTGGAGGGAGGGGGTAAAGGAGGTTTTGTGGGCGAGGGGCTTGGACTTCCAGCAAGCATGCATGAGCATGTTAGGAGTGAATGGAGACGAATGGTATTTGGGAACTGACGAGCTGTTGGAGTGTAAGCAGAGTAATATTTAGTGAAGGGATTCAGGGAAACCAGTTATTTTATATAGCCAGACTCTAGTCCTGGAAATGAGAAGTACAATGCCTGAACTTTAAAGGAGGGGTTTAGGATATTGGCAGTTTAGAGGGATATGTTGTGTATCTTTATACGTATATACTTCTAAACTGTTGTATTCTGGGCACCTCTGCAAAAACAGTGATTATGTGTGAGTGTAAGTGTTGAATGATGAAAGTATTTTCTTTTTGGGGATTTTTTTTCTTTCTTTTTGGGTCACCCTGCCTCGGTGGGAGATGGCCGACTTGTTAAAAAAAAAAAAAAATTGCCTTTCCTCTATACCCCTTCTCTCCAGTATTTCATTGCCTTGATTTTTTGTTACTATCACCTTACTCTTTCCTGTGTTCACTTTTAATTTCCTTTTATATAATCTCCCAAGTTCCTCCACCAACCTTTGCAACTTCTCTTCAGAATCTCCCAAAAGAACCATGTTATGGCAAAAAATCAACTGTGACAACTTTCACTCTGAATCAAATTTGTTCCATTTTAATTACACACCCTTCCCAACCCCCAAGCATTCACTATTTTTTATAACCCCTTCTATAAATTTGCTAAACAGCCATGATATCATGCATCCCTGTCAAAGGCCAACATTTACTGGAAAATAATTTACCTCTCTTCTACATATCCTTGTTGTCCGCATGGATAATAAGCACTAAATCCAAGTCGTACAACACTGCAGGGATGTGCTAAAGAATATATATGGAGGTCAGAGACTATCCACATAACAGCTCTTCACTGTCCCTTCATAACAAAAAATTACTGGTAGCTTCTAATAAACAATCAAGCTAAGCACTAAACCCAAAAGGGTTATAAGCTTTTTTTTTTTTTTATATAATTATAATCATGGGGGGGGGAGCAATAAACCTGTAGGATTATACAGTATAAGCTTCTAATGAAGGTAATTGTACAAGTGTTTTTCAATAAAAAAAAATTTTGTTATAGTCCTACATGTACTGAACAGGCCCAATTAACTCCCATTATATTATTATTATTATTATTATTATTATTATAAAAAGAAGTGCTAAACCACAAGGGCTATACAGCGGTGCCTCTTCAAGGGGGGCTCCTTGGCGTGAAGAGGCTCTTGGTCTGAGGAATTAGACCTGTCGGTCTCCTTCCTCAGACCGAACCTAATTACCCCCCAATCCCCCCCTTCCCTATCCCATCCTCCCCTTTTCCCTTTCCTCCTCCCCCTCCCCACCCCTCCCTTTTGCCCTTCCTCTTTTTGGCCTTTGGAATTTTTCCCACAGGCGCGCTAGTTCCCAGGTAGGGGAAAGGGTTCCAGGGTCCATCCCATTCCGTTGAGGTTCTTGGTGGTGACGTAGTTTGCTGTGGAATCTGGATCGCCTGGGGATGTCCCGATCCCTCTCCGGTATCCCGGAGTGGCTTTGGGTGTCTTTCGGGCGACGGGTGTATCTCTGCAAGCCACCTTTCGGATTCCGGGGGTGGTGGCCGAAGGAGGTATGCTTTGTGGTGGATATCCGGACGCCCTCTCTTTTGTCCACCGAGGTAGCTCGGCAGATGTGAGGTTGCTATCCCAGATTGCTGGTTTACTGGCATGATGGGTAGGGTATGGCACGGGTTCCATGCTGCATCTACGCTACTTGCGGTGCTGAGGTCCTCTTGGGCGCGGAGGGAGATTTCTGGCCCTTTCATTCCTCCTAGGAACTATCCCTCCCCGGTCCCCCCTTTTTTTTTTATTTTTATTTTCTTTTCTTTCTTTTTTTTTCTTAAAAACAAAAAGAAGTAACCTAACCATGGCAGCCCCAGTCCATGAACCTGATACCCCAGGGCCCCTTCTTGATACTGCACCCCGTTCTGACCCCGCCTTGTCTTTGGACCACTCTTCGGACACTCCTCATGCCTCTGTACCTCTTGCCGGTGCTGTTTCCTCACCCGCTTCAGGTACTGAGGTCTCGACTGACTCCTTTGATTTATCTGACCTCAGCTCTCCTTTTACTATGCTTCTGGCCTCTCCCTCTACGGTGCGGCAATTTTCGAATCGCCGGCCCATTCCACGTCAGACCAACTCTGGTCCCATGCCTAAACGCCAACGACAATTACCTGCTGATGATACTTCTCCACCTTCTCGTTCTTCTCAGAAAAGATCGACACGTCCTGCACTCCCTTTCCACGCTCAGTTTCAGACTGCACAATGGACTAAATTCTTTACTTTACGAGCGACTTCCTCTACCGCCTATCTTTCCGACCACAGTATTGGCAAGGCACTCCTACGCCATGTTGATAAAGATATTTCTTTTCATGCTCTTAAGAGCGGTACGCGCATCATCACTGTATAGAATGCTACCCAAGCTCATGATCTTTCTCTTCTTTCCCATATAGATACTGTTCCTGTCACTATTGAAAAACATCATTCCCTCAATTCTTGTAGTGGTACCGTCATTCTGCCCCATACCATAGTTCAACAAAATTTCCAGACATGTGGCAATGACATTCTTGAACAGCTGGAACTCCAAGATCTCCCAATCCTCAAGGTAGACACTTATGTTCTTCCTGCCCGCGGGCGGAGATGATACCCTAGCAATGTGGCTCGTTTAACTTTTGACAGCCGTGAACTCCCATCCTCAGTTTATGTAGCAGGACATCGGTTACAAGTTCGAAAGGTGATCCCTACACCGCAACAGTGTAGAAATTGCTGGCGATTTGGCCATCCAGCAAAATATTGCAGATCCATAGCCAAATGCCCAGTCTGTGGTGCCGATGACCATTCTAATACGTCTTGCAATCGACCTCCCTCTTGCCTTAATTGTCATGAGGCTCACCCTTCGTACTCTCGCCGTTGCCAAGTCTACTTAAATGAGCGGGAAATCCGTTACCTCAAAGAGGCAGGTCTCCCTTATGCCATGGCAGTTTCTCATCTCCGCCTCCAAGGGAGACCACCTCGTGTTTCTTATTCCCGTGTTTCCAAAAGTCCCCCCACTTCTGGGGTCCCATCTTCTGCAACCTCCTCTGTGGTTACCTCTCCCATAGTCACTCCTGTATCTAATTCTTTTGCTGTCCTAGGCTCAGACGTCCCTACTTCAACACCTCAGTCTGTTCTCGCTTCTTCGTGTTCTCCCTCACAAGCCTCAGTATTGACGAGACCTCGTACGACACCTCCTCCCAATCGTCCCTCTACTTCTCAGAAGTCAAAAAAAGATCCTTTAACCCCTCCTTCCCTTCTTCCACCTCCTCATTTTACCTTCCCTGTCTCTGTACCGGGTTATTTCCCTCTCACTGGCTCTGTTACAAGTGTAGAGGTTCACCCTCCTCCTCGTACTATACCTACCTCCCCTGTTCCCTCCCAAGTTTCTTCCTCTTCTGCCACCTCCCAGGTTTCTGCCTCTTCTGTCCCCTTCCACACTTCTTCTCCAGTTCCCTCCACCCTTTCGCCCCCCCCCTACCTTGGTACAGTCCATTACAGTTCCAATCTTTACTCATCCTCCCCCTACCATCTCCGAATTGTCCCCCAACACGTCTCAAATTCCAAAACATTTGAAGAAATCTCTGAGTATTTTGGGCAAAAGACCAAGCCAAAACCCATAAAGGGATCTGACCCAAACCCCCTGTTCCTTCTCTCTCTTCTCCTCCATCTGCGCAACCCCTTTTCTTCCACGCGCACCGTTCCTTCGTGTTTTAAATTTTTTTCCCGCTGCCTCCGAATTGAATTTTTCTAACCCCAGCCCTTAGGAACCCTACCTGTGGGTTTCAAGAATTTTTTACATTCCCAAAATCAGGCCAAATACAGGGAAAAATACGGGGCCCAGGGAAAATCGGGGTGTTTTTCAGTGTTACTCTCCCAGGTTTTCCCCGGGTTGGTTTTTTGCTTACGGGAAACCCAAAATTTAAACACTCTTTTTTAACCCTTCTCCCCAACTCGGGCTAAAAAATTTTATTGTATTCTTCAGATCCTTTTCCTGATGGGCCCTTTTAAATGAAAGCCCCCTTTCTTCTACGGGCACGGGGATTTTCCCTGTCCCAAACACTATTTTCGAAACTTCCTGCTTTAACACAGCAGCCCTATCCACTTCATAGGGGTATATCCCTGTTCTTTATCCTCTCTCCCCCCTCGGCTTTACCCTTTTCCCCGGGATATTGCCTTTTTTTTTTTCCCGTCTTTAAAACCACCACCAAATTCTTTACTTGGAAATTTTAATCCCCCATCATTTTCCTCGGGGGGTCCACTTGGGGTTTCCTGGTTTTTTCATTTTAGAGGTTTTTCCCTTGCCCCCCAAAACCCCCTTTCCATTTTTTTAAATACGGGGACTCACCCCCATTTTGACCCCTCGGACTAAACACCCCCTCTTGAAATAAAATTCTCTCAGCCCTGCTCCCCTCCGCCGCTTAGACTTCACCGGTTTTTGTTTTTTTCCCCGGGATTTACATAAACAGTGATCTTTTTCCCAATCATTCTTATTTCCCCCCTTCATATTCACCCCTTTCTTCGCACCCACGCTGAAATTTAAACAGCAAATTTGGAACCTTTACCCCCACCCCTTTAACTGTTTTTAGAGGGGTTTCCTTCTTCCCCCTCCATTAATGAGCTTTTAAAACCCCTTCCGTCCTCCTTTTTAAAAACCGCAGTTTCCATTCTAAAACCCCAAATTTCCCAGCAGGCATTCTCAAAAATTTGATGCCTTAGGGGTCTCCTTTTTTTGCTCGGAAAGTACTTGAAACACCTGCATGGGCAGGCCCGGTCCAATAGAACCACGGGGGAGACTTCTTTTTTTTAAGCAAAAAGCGTGCAACCCGGCTCCCGGTAAAACCGTACGCAAACCACTTTCCGGGCAAAGTTTAAATGTCCCCCACCATCACCCGCTTCCTCAAAGAGTCCCTCTGGAAAAAAGTACAAAAACGGGAGTGGAAAATATTCCCCTGACCCGCTCCTTTCTGGGGGGTTTTGCCGGTGTTGAAATAGAAAACCCACTAGATGGCCAATAAAATTTGACAATCATCTGTCCTTTTTTTCCCCAGGGACTCCATCTATGCCCCTCTTTTCTTTCTTTCAAATTTCCTGCCAGAGATTTAAGAAACCCCCTTAAAACTTTTTTTCTCTCAAGAAAAACAGATAAGTCCTTTTAAACTTTCAAGAACTGGAGGCAACACTCTCAGTTTGCCAATCATCGGCAGGGGGGCCCCGACGAAAATTAAAAATTTCGTTAATGCTCCCGCTTTTACACTTAAAGCCCTTTTTCCCTATTACGCCTTTAAAAATCTTTTTTGGTTTCACAAAGTTTTTCCCACAGCTGGGGAAAATCCGCCATTTTTTTCTCCCTTTTCCCCCAAACCCCGGCACAACGGGACATAAACCTCCCCCCAATAAACCCATTGCTTTTTACCAGTGCATTTTTGCAAAGTGAGGGAACGCCAGAAAATTAACTTTAGTGGGGTTTTTAGAGACACACAACACCCCCTCCACTCGTAAATTTGGGTTTTTCGAAAGGGGGGTTCTACCATAGCCCCCTTACTCCCTTTTGGGGAAAAACGTATGTTTGTAATGCCTTTGCAAATTTAACCCAAACCATTTAAAGGGCCATATTTTTAAACCTTAGAAGGCAAGACACAACTTGGAGGTATAATTTTTACCCCAAAGCCCACTCCTTAGGTTTTTCCGGGGCAATCACCCACCCTTTTCCTTAGAAAATTTTTAACGACAGGTTTTTTCCATGTTGGGGTTAAAAATGTGCTCTCCCCCCGGATTTTAAACCGGGTAAGGTTTTCCCCCAGGGATGTTTTTCTGACACAACACTTTTTCCCCTTGCTTTAAATGTTTTTGGCCCTATCATCCATCAAATATTTGGGTTAAATAAACTCTATTTAATGATTCGCATT